AAGGCAACATATAATTTCTTGGAGCCTACTTTCATATATTTCTCACCTAAGACTGATAAGATTAAACAGTGATCCAAAGTTGATATATTTTTAGAAAATCCAATTTGTTCAGGGCCAATAATATTGTTTTCCATTACCCACCTACGCAATCGCTGCTCAAGATGTTTAGCATATAGTTTGCCTGTTACAGAAAGAATGCTAATAGGTCGGTAATTATCCGGAATTCTAGGATCCGGAATTCTTGTAGAGTGGAATGATTATTGAGTTTAACCAAGAATCTGGCAAAATCCCATAAAGGTCAATAGATGTAAAAAGAGCGGCAAGGACTGGAGCCCCACCAGTCAATATTTTTCTTAAAGACTTCAGCGGGGAGACCTTCAGGACCGGGGGCTTTGCAAGATTTCAAGCTACCTATTAGATCGATAATTTCCTTCTCATTAACAGGGGACCATCTGGGAATATGAGAAGGAATAGTTGATTCAAGGATAGGAGAAACATCAGTATGAAAGTTTAAGAGTTTAGAGAAATGGTCAGTCCAAATTTGGGGAGGGATATCGACTTCAGAAAAGAAATTATTCCTAGATGCTTTAGCAATTGCTCTCCAAAAGGTCTTACAATCGCGAGATCTAAGAGAAGATAACATTTGGGACCATAACTGCAGGCAATGGGCTTTCTTCTTCCTCATAACTAAATCCTGAAATTCCTTTTTAGAGGCAAGGAAGGTATCAAATCCATCACCCGTGGCATTTAAACAGAATTTTTTAAACAAAGCTCTGAGGTGTCTTTTATGAATTAAACATTCCCTATCGAACCACGAAACAGGTTTTAAGGGACTGGACTGTACAGGCTCCGCCAACGAGGAGCAAAGCAACTCAGACTGGGCAATTGCCGAAACAGATAGGATCTAATCTGGGAGAACCAGGTTTGAGTTCCCACTCCTCCACATGCAGCTGCTGGTGCAACCTTGGGTCACTCACATGTCCTTTCGGAGCTGTTCTCTCACAAGCAGTTCTCGAAAGAGCTCTCTCAGCCCCACGTATCTCACAGGGCATCTGTTGTGGGGAGGGGAACGGAAAGGAGATTGTAAACCACATTGAGACTCCTTCAGGTAGTGGAGGATGCGGTATAAATCCAACCACTCTTTCTTCTTGTTAACTATTTTTCATAAGCTCTTTCGAATTCTGAGCCTATTAAATAAGAATTAACCATATGGAGTCTATGCAATTCTTCTGTGTGCCTCCTAGGCTGGGGGTTTTTTGGGTTTTTTGGTGGGGTGTTGGCTTCATAGAACCACCTCTGATCCAATACAAAAGGACCAGGCAGTAGGTGATGTGAAAGACTTCTACCTGAGACCCTGGAGAGCCGCTGCTGGTCTCAGTAGACAATGCTGACCTTGGTGGACCAATGGTCTTATTCAGTATAATGCAACTTCATGTATGTTCAATACATTTGTG